TGGCATCCAGTTCCAGACATGGCTGGACACCTTGGAGCGCTACCCCGACACTCTGTTGGGCAGTTCGGAGCGGGACTTCTTCTACCACCCTGAGACACAGCAGTACTTTTTTGATCGGGACCCTGACATTTTCCGCCACATTCTCAACTTCTACCGTACTGGGAAGCTTCATTATCCCCGCCAGGAGTGCATCTCAGCTTACGATGAGGAGCTGGCCTTCTTTGGCATCATCCCTGAGATCATTGGCGACTGCTGTTACGAGGAGTACAAGGATCGCCGGCGTGAGCATTTTTTTGCAGGATGATGCCGATCAGGATCATGCAGCTGAGAGCTCCCTGCCCTCAATGACAGCTCGACAGAGGATGTGGCGGGCCTTTGAAAACCCCCACACTAGTACACTGGCTCTGGTCTTCTACTATGTCACTGGTTTCTTCATTGCCGTCTCTGTTATTGCCAACGTGGTGGAGACAGTGCCCTGTGGGGTAAGCCCAGGTCGCATCAAAGAGCTGCCCTGTGGAGAGCGTTATGCCGTGGCTTTCTTCTGTCTGGATACTGCCTGTGTCATGATTTTCACAGTTGAATATCTCCTACGTCTGCTGGCAGCCCCTAGTCGCTACAAATTCGTGCGCAGTGTCATGAGTATCATTGATGTGGTCGCCATCATGCCGTATTACATTGGCCTGGTGATGACAGATAATGAGGATGTCAGTGGGGCTTTTGTGACACTACGAGTCTTTCGTGTCTTCAGGATCTTTAAGTTTTCCCGCCACTCACAGGGGCTGCGCATCCTGGGCTATACCCTGAAAAGTTGTGCCTCGGAGTTAGGCTTCCTTCTCTTCTCACTCACTATGGCCATCATCATCTTTGCCACTGTCATGTATTATGCAGAGAAAGGTTCATCAGCCAGCAAGTTCACCAGCATCCCTGCAGCCTTCTGGTACACCATTGTCACCATGACAACACTGGGGTAAGTGCAGCTGGTGTTTGGTTACAGCCAACATTTCAACAAGTGTATTGGCACAAACGGAAAATACTCAATTTAAAAAATTGTTGATAGAAAAAATGTGAGGGTAAGTTTTTGTTACAGAACTTTATGAATACGACTCATCACTTCTTTCTAAGTGTTTTACACATGCAACTGAGTTAAAAGTGTTGCTGGAGTTAAAAGTGTTGCTGAATTTAAAATAGCCCAAACCCCAACACAGTAGATAAACTGGAAAAGCAAACAACAAAACAAAATAAAATAATCTTGAAACTGTTTGGGTTCTTTGCAATTTTCTCTAACACTTTATTTGGTTTTGGATAGTGAAATTGGAATACTTTATGAATATCTGTGAGTTATCAGTGGATTTTTGATAGAGTAATGTGTTTGCTGACAGGAGTTGTTACAGTGTTGCTAAAGGAGTGATAATTATAAGGAGAACCCAAGTGTGATCTTTTAATTTGATCATGCATAAAAGTAGTGGAGCTGCCATTTTGTTTGAAGTGATGTATTGATGTAGACTTTGATGTTGAGTTCAGTATTATAAAGTGATTTGTTTTCGTGAAAATAAAACAGGTATAGATACCTTATTCTTTGCAAAAAATATTCCTAATGTTATTTAAGACACTGGATAAATTTCCTTTGATTTCTGTGGACTTGTAACTTGTAAATGACAAGTGTCAAACTACCCTGACTGGTGACAGATTCTGGAAAATGATCTGAAGAGGTATGAGGCATATGACAGATCGAGCATATGTCTTAAAATGTAATTCTAATGGCAATATAAACCCTTCCAGAGAATTAGGAGTTAAAAAATACCACTGTTGACATTGGACTCCAATGCAGTTTAGTGGAAAGAATGGAGATAGTATTGTTTTATAAAGTCTCAGATAGCAGAGTCATATTGTATCAGCTGATTCAGTGCACCAAGTTGTAAAATGCATTTGTCTGTAATTATAACACAGATTTAGAAGGCTGACTCATTTGACAAGACAATTTTTTGCCTTATTCTTAATTTTAAGCTGTAGAGTATCATCTATGAAACTGAAAATTTGTTGATCCCTTAGAAACTGTCTAGTTATTTAATAATTACAGATGATAAAAGACAATCTTTACACTTTCATAAAGACAAAACCCATCATTCTATTACTTGAACATTTTGCTACGTCTTGTTGGGACTGTTGAGATTTATGAAACATGTATAACTTCTAAATATAACAAAATGAAAGTGCATTATTAAACTATTATGAAAAAGTTGATTTATTATGTGCAATTGTAATTTAGGTGGGAAATGCACATATGAAATACTGGAAAAGATAAAAAGGGACTGTCTTATGCCACCATTTTTTATACAGGGCTTTTATCTTCAGCGTGATATAACAAATGAAGATAAATATAGTGCATTGTAAATATTTCATACTACTTGTAAGGGCAGGTTATGCTAAAAAGGAGTGACAAGAGCTTTGGGGATTTTAATCTGCTTTTTAGGTTCCTGGGGTTTTTTTTGGTGTTCATTTTCTTCTGGTAGTGTTAGTAGGGACAAGTTAGCAGAAGGAACAAGTTACACATGCTGACTAGTTCCATAGTCCTGTATTTTCTGATGCTAATACTTTTCGCCACATATTTTTAATTACAACTGTGATGGTTTCAACAAATTAGGTCTTAAGAATTTGCCAATATTTAGAATGTACAATCTTATTATAAAAGAGCAGGAGCTGGTCTGTGGTTTTTGTAACAAAAGCTGTTTTTTGAGTGAGTTGTTTTGGCCGTTAATGGCCCGTTTGGGCAGCTCTTGTCCATGGTACTGAACATAATTTTGTCTTCAGTTTTATGGCCCGTTCGCAGTTGATTGGGTCGTGGGTAAGGTACCTATTTGGCATTGATACGATTTGTTTTCCTTTCACAAAAACAACAAGAAAATTATTCTATAGTTGCAGGGTTTGAGGTATTATTCTAAGTAAAGTCTTCAAAAGTACTAATGAGATTTGAACATCATTAACAATCCCTTTGAATAGAGTCTAAGAACCTATTTTCAAGTTTGCAGCCATACAATATTTAGGTACTGAGGGGAAGAAAAAGGGTTAAAAGGAATGCACTCATGCTTGACTCGTTTTCGAGGTAGTTTGCACAGAGAAAGTTTTGAGTAGGTCGTGCAGAGATCCAGAGTTTCACCCTCAGAAGTTCAGATATAATTATAAGTTCAGATATGACAGACATCACAAATTTCTGGGAAATCTTTAATCAATGCATTGGATAGATGATGTGCTTTAAATAACATCATGATAACCATATAAAGATTATGTTTAAATGTTAAGTATATATTAATAATTTAAATAGAATTAACATAATAACAGCTTTGAAATCTTTTTAGTTGATGGAATAATTACACAAAAAGAGAGGGAAATTACAAGCAAAAGCAGCAAGGGTCAGTGAAAGCTCATTGTAATTAGGACTACTACCTTTGCTCTGTGCTAAAGCTTCCTGTCTGTTTACTAATCCAGAACTCCAGTTTATTTTTAATTTTAGTTTTATCTGAATTAGGGCTATATAAATGGAATCTATATGAACAGCTTTTTTCTTTTAGCAACAAAGCTAGATGAAGTCTTTTTGTTTTAATTGACAGTAACACACAGCAGGTTATGTTAAATATTACAAAAATATATGGAAGCTAATACCGAATAATAGATTAACATAAAGTTGAGGTTTTGAGTCTTGGTGTCATTCTTATATTTTGCTAGGTAGCAAGGGTATTGAGTAAGTGACCTTTGCAATTTGGGGATTTAGTATCTTGGAAGCAGAGCTATATTTCTCAATTCTGCATGATTGCTGAGCAATTAAAGTGTCTTTAAAAAACATAGATTACATTTTTCCACAGAGTGCCAGTGATTTCAAATATTACTACTTTTTAGCCTCCAAGGATATGCCAGCTATTAACTGTTCTTGACTGCTCAACTCAAGTAGTACATAGTTGTACATAGAGATGTTATACAAAAGAAATGAAAGAAAGGGAAGAAAGGAGGAAAGGAAGAGAGAAAGAGAGAGCGAGAAAGAGATAAAGGCTGAGAGAGAGAGAGAAAGATGACTCTAGAATAACAGCATGCACTCTGCCAGAAACTGAGCTGTCTGATTTAAAATTTCAAATTAGTATTGTATCGGTATTAATTGTAGCAAAAGCAGAAATAAAGTAGGGACAAGAAGGGACAACAGAATAAAATTGAAAGAGGTGACAAAGCAGTTTGTGGAGACTGAAGATAACAATGAAAAGTATAGAAGCTAGGGGCATAAAGGTCAAGAAGCAGGGTAGTGTAAAACCTCGCAGAGAAAAAAGCTCAGGTCTACTGAATTGGGATTGGCAGACTTACATGGGGGCTTGTCATCATCTACGCCCATGATGACACAGTTACGCCACTTTCTGCTGACACCTATAACATGATAATGTAATGACTTTACTTCTGCTCTGTCTGTAGCCAGCAAATGAGCTGGAATAGCTGGTAAGGTTTCTGTGGTGTAAGGGTAATGTTTGTTTCTAAATCAGGCAGAGCTATAGTGTAGTTTATGTTTTATAAAGATATTATACTTTAAATAAGGAACACAGTGTGCTTCTGTGACTGATTCTAATGCATTCTCACTGCTATATTAAACATATATTTATAGGCTTTACACTGGGTAGCTGTGTCAAGTCATACAATACTTTTGTAGATGAGCACAATACTTTATGAAGGGAAGCTTAAAGACAAGACTATTCGTTTATTTGCTTTGATTGTATAAACTAGAGTTGTGTCTTCCAAAAAAGATAAAGCAACTATTCATTTTCGTTATTTGTTAATATAGCACTTAATGTACGAGGAATCCCATCTCAGATATTTCAAATTCTCTGAAGATTTCGTAATCGAACAGGTGACTAGATGTGACAACAGAAATCCTCAAACAGTGAACAGGGGAATAGAGTGATGGATTTCATTTTCCTGGACATCCTATTCTTTCCAGTCTTCACTCCTTTTCCATTCATTTTCTTGCATCCCTATGGGTGTATTCCATCTACTTGTTTTCTTCACTTGTCTTTACCACTTTCCATAGCCTTCCTGTTTGGGGATTTGTCTGCTGACTTGGCACCATTTCTCCCTTGTTCAAGACAAGTTTAGCGTTCATATTAAGACTCTTCTGGCTTTATTTCTTCTACTTCTTTGTTCCAGATTCCTCATTTATCCTTTACCACTAGATCAAATCTTTCATTCATCATCATTGTCATTCATTTGACCTGAACTTTCCTCATAACAGGTTTTTTTCTGACCTTTGTTTGATAGATTTTTTTCCTTATGAGCATCATAAAATTTCCACAGCATCAAATGCCACACACATTCTCTTGTTTTCATTTTCTGACCATTGTGAGTGCCTTTAGTTTCTTATGGTCTCTGCATGCTAGATGGAAAACATCCATCTCTTCAGAACTTGTGTGTAAAAGATTGAGTTCAGTAAAATCTGACAAGAGAGCACAAAATTAAAAATCTTTGTTTTGTGAACAATTTCATTAAATGTTTGAAAACACTCTTATGATGAATATTACAAATAAAGATTAGCAAAGATGGAGTATTATTTCTGTATCTTGTACCTACATATTGAATCATTCATTAATTTTGTGTTTGATGTATTCAACCCTGTTTCAAATAGCATTTCTCTATTTTTGTATTCTTGTATACAACCTAGAGAATTTTGTATTTTACAAATGTGTTTGATGTCTCAATCTATTTTCTCTTCACAGCAGAGACATTTAGCCTGAATAGTTAGAATGCTATGTAGCAGCGGAGGGACAAAGTGTAGTGTAATCACCTTCAAAGCACATTGCTAGATATTCAAAAAGGGCTTCAGGGAGAGTTCGAAATACTGAAAAGTAAGGGTCATTTTGATGGCAGTAAAAAAACCTTTATTTGTTCTCTAATAAAAAGATTATTCAAACTGTATTGGGCTGTTGTTGGCTTAACAGAGAACAGG